GGTGCTGCCGGGTCTGCTCTGTTTGCGGGGGTAGGGCCCTTGGTACACAGTCAGGGTGTGCACTCACCTTGACTCCTGGCACTGCCTGGGCCTCCTCTGCGGTGCTGGTTTTAGGAAGTGTGCCTCACGCCCAGGTCTTCAACTGCTGGTTCCTGGAGCACCTGCAAGAGGAAGTGAGGGAGCCTCTCAGGCTAAAGAGTGCAAGCAGAGCCTTGGGCCTCCCAGGGCTGACAGCTGGGGCTGGCCAGACACCCAGAGCCCCACAGTTCTGGACTGCATGGTCCCATCAGAATTTAATGAGCATCCTCACCTTTTCTCAGACAGGGCCATGTCCCTACCACTCTTCTGGCCTGAGCCAAAACCTCAGGGCAAACTCCACATCCTTGAGAGCAGTGGGAGGTGGTGAGGTGGCAGCCGCCTCCCAGCACTCCACCACGGGGGCAGTGGGGGTGGCCTCACGTCTGTTCTGATGCACATGTGACTCCTCAGTCCTCACTCTTATCCCCAGCAGGGCCTGGGAATCTTCCCTCTGCCAACCGGAAGTTGCTCCTTGTGCTGACTTGCCATGGGACCCTCAGACCAAGGCCTTCCCTTTCCCTACACCCCTCACCCACCAATGAGAGGGCTGTCGCTCAGCCTGAGCTGACTGGGGAACTTTACAAGGGCTGATATGGAGGAGCAGGGTGGGAATCTCTGGATCTGTTCTCTGAGGTGGCAGTTCCCCTTGTCTTCCTCAAAGTCTTCCTATTTATTCCCTAGAGGGCCGGCACCTCCCGCCTTCTTCTGTCATGAGGACGTGTCCCTCAGCCCTTAGTTGCCCTCTTCCTGTCTGTGACCTCCAATCTCACAGCAGGTGCAGGGCAGGCCAGAGCTGCCTCTTCCTGTGATGGGAGGTCCCGCAGTTCTCCCTTGGCGCCCTTACCTTGAGGATTGGCCAGTTCTAAGAGTCTTCTGTCTGCTGATTTCAATTGAGCCTTCTCACAAAATGCCTCAAATACTTCAGACTCCCAGGATGCAAGTCGGAAAAGCACATCCTGCAACCCTGCCAGAACTGACCAGGGATGACAGCAGGGGCAGCATGGGACTAGGTCTCCTCTCTATGGAGGAACCACCCCTTACCTCTCTACCTCCTTCCCACACTTTCCTGACCACCTACCGGCCCTTCTCCAGCCCTTCCTACCCATGCCCTGGGCCCCCTCCACCCCTTCCTGCCTACCTCCCCGACCCTTTCCACCCCTTCCTGCCCACCTCTCAGTACCCCTCCACCTTTTCCTGCTCCCTTCAAGCCCCTCATCCATATTTCCCTGCCCTCCTCCCCACATCCTTTTCCAGGGCTGACAGCAGGGAGTGGCAGGGTGCAGCCTGCGCCTCCCGTCCATGTTGGAAGGTCACTGTCCTTCCACAGAGCTCTCTTCTCACAGAGTGGCCAGTCCTGGGGTTTCTCCCTCTGCTTAACTGAAGCTGCTCTCCTCGGAGAAAACTTCCCCTCCAGCTGACTCCCAAAATGGAAGTCAGAAAGTTGTCATCTGGGGACCCTGATGGGCTCCTCCAGAGCTGGCAGCAGGCAGAGGGACAGGACAGGGAGCACTACCAGTCGTGGGTGTTCCCTTCCTGCCTTCCTGAGAGGCTGTGCCTGGACTCTTGTAATGGCCTGGGCTCCCTGACCCTGTGCATCTGAGTCTTTCACCTCCGAATAAGCCCCTCCCATCCCTGAGACCTGCAAGGTAGAAGAGAGGGAGAATCACATCCCTCCACAGGGGGGTGGGACCTCCTAGGCTCAAGGCAGGACTCTGGTGTCCTTTTTCTGAAATGGTGTGGGCAGGACTCTGTTTTCCTGCAGTTATTATTCCTGACATGGCCTGGGAGCCCTTCCCTTGCTCTCTAGACACTTTGTTCTTCAGATCAAGGTTCCCATTTCCATGAGACGACCCCCAAGACGAAGTGAAAAGCACTAGCATCCCTGACTGAGGGCCCTGCCCAAGGCCTCCCAGGGTGAAAACAGGGACTGGATTTGTGTGCCCTTCTGTTTCTTGGGAGGGATGCCTCATCGGTCCTTCCTCTGTGTCATCGTAGGGATGCCTGGAAGGGCCTGAGTCCCTTCCCCTCTCATGATCTGAAGTGAGACTCACCTGAGCACAGCCTTCTCCTCTTTCTGTCCTCTGAGATGTCAGGGGGATGCCACAGTGGGCCACCATGCCCCAGGGCCTCCCAGGACTGGCAGCAGTAGTGGAGCTGGATTCTATGGATCCTCCTCTTTGTGGGCAGGGAGTCTCTGCAGTTCTCTCACAGGCCTCATGTGACTACTGGCTGGTCCTGGGTCTCCCTGTTCTTCTCATGATGACAGTATAACATACGGCAAAAAATAATGTAACTTCACCCTGAATAAAGCTAAAAAGCACCACGATGCCACGGTAATCAAGTGAATATCATCAGTGACAAATTATGTTGGTACTATGTGCTGTCGGTATGATATGATAAGAATGGCACTTCACCTGTCTGTTCATCCTTCCAGGAAATATAACTTACATCAAATAATGACAAAAAAAATCACATAAATCCCAATCAAAGTCAATTTTACAAAATGCCTAACCACACGAAACTGTCAAAAGTGTCAATGTTTTCAAAATCGAGAAATGTCTCAATCAACCGGTACAGCCAAAGGGCATCCAAGGAACATGATAACTAATAGCAATGGAGTATCCTCAGGGGATCCTGGGATAGAAAACAGAATTTCGTGAAAAGTAAGAAAATGTGACTGAAGTATGTTCAATAATAAATAAAGAATATTTGTTAAAAACAATGTATAAATACTGGTTCATTAGTTTTAGGAAACCTTACCAAGGTAAGATGTTAATAACAGGAGGAATAGATTAGGGGGCGTGAAAGAATGTTCTTGACCATTGTCACAATTTTCTTTTAAATCTAAAATTATTCTAAAATAAAGTTTATGAAATATGAAAAAATGTTACCAAACTAGATAAAAGGATATGCATGAGACACCTATAACAGATATATCTTTTAAGGAAATGTTGAAAGCCTCTAGTTTGAACTTGAGGCCTAACCTAGAGTTTCTGCTACAAGTATTTCTATTACTTCTTATACTAGAGGTAGTAGCAAGTGTAGTAATCCAAAGAGGAATAAATGAAGGAATGAAGATTGGCCGGTTGGAAACAAAGATTTTGTGATTAATGGATGATTAGACTGTGCACGAAAAGAATCCAAAACAACTAAAGATAATTTATTCAATATATGATAGTATATCAGTTTGCTAGTATAAGGTCAATATTCAAAAGAATATCAACTTCATTTTTTGTCAGGGAAAGAGTATGAAAATGAAAGTAAAGAATATATAGTTTTAACCTATAGTACCAAAATATCAATTATCTTAGGAAAATAATTTCACCAAAAACATTTTAACCAAATAAGACTGGGAGGCAGCTGATGGCTGGTTAAAATATTTTTTGGTTAAAAAAGCTTAACCAAAAAATTTTTACAGACAAAAATATTAAAATGCTGTTGAGGCATGTTAACAAAGACCTACCTGAACATAAAATAAAATAAATTCATTGGCATGAATATTCAATATTTTAAATATGTTGATTCTTCCCGAAAAGGAATCTACAGATTGATTGCAATCCTAAATCAAAACTGCCAAAGGACTTTGGACCTGAAGGCATGTGAGAATCACCTGATTCTAAAATATAAAGACATGCAAATGGACAAGCATAGTCAATATACACTTGAAAAAGAGTCATTTGTCTACCAGATAGTAAGAATTACAAAGCTACTATAATGAAGAGTTTGAGATTTGGGTGCAGAGATAGACCAAAGGAACTGAATGGAGAGTTCTGAAAAACAAAACCAACAAAACATGTATAAACATGTGCTAAAACTTGCAGCTTTAGAGCAAGAGAGAGTCTTCTTGAAATAAGTGTCAGTGGAACAACAGAATATCCATACAAAAAACCTAATGTAAGTGGAACTCTTTTTCATATTAAACAGTGAAAACAATTACAGGGAAATTCAAAACCTACCTTAAAAATATTTATTATAAAAAACCCGCAAAAATACACAGACATACTCAGAATAATAAGTCTTTGTATAAAGTATCTTTATGCAAGTTCGCAGTATAAGTAAATTAGAGCATCAGTAAGCCTGGATTTGAAAGCACTGAAAGAGGCTGGAGTCTCTGGTCACTTCAGTACCAGGGGGAAGTAAGATGATAAGAGTCAAAGAGGAGCACAGGAAATAGCATCTACTTCTGCTCCCTTGTTTCAGCCATAAAAGGCCTGACTGCTTTCATGAACCGTTGCTTCCTGAGAGCAAGACTTGAAATCTCAGCAGTGGCTGGGGGAAGGCCACTTGGGACAATGTTGTATTAATTCCCTCTCCTACTTGGCCAGTGCTTCTGCTTACCTCTGGAACTCTGTGGATCCAAGAAATACAACGTGAACAGTTCTACTCCAGAAAGTCATGAACAGGGGATGTTGTGTTGATGACAGAAACCTGACCACGTCCAAAAACAGTTTACTGACTTAGAGGCAGTACCAGTTTGCCCAAATGTGATGGGAATAGAGGTTTATTTTTCTCTCCATATAGATAGGAGACTCACATACTTCCTTTCAGCTGTTCTTACTCCTGACAGGACCCTCAGCAGAATTCAGGAACCCTGAGATTCCAAAAAAGGTTGACTTGTGGCTTTGCCAGAGACTTCCCTGAGGGTTGGGGCCCATTTTATTGACTATGGTGAGGATCAACTCAGTCGTTTATGAGCTGACTTCCTTCTTCAGCTTTGTCTCCATGTCCCAGGGGCAGTGGGCCTCTGCTCATAGCCAGGATTGGTGGATCATCAAACCTCAGCGCTCAAGGTGGAAACCCACAGACAAGGAAGCTCTTCTCCCAGACTGGGAGGCAGCTGGCGGGTAAATTCCAGCTCTGGCCCCCATGTCCTTGGGAATTATCCTCATGGAGCTTTTCTTCTGAGGTCCCAAGAAGGAAGCATTTCTTATGGATGGTAAAAAGAAAATGGCAGCCTATCCTTTTACCTCCTGGTATTGGAAATAAATCTCCTGTCCAGAAGAGAGAGGGACTAACGTTCTTGGGATTGAATCAATGGGGAGTGTCAGGGACCTTTTAAAGGAGTGAACACAACCCCTCTCCAAACATACCCCAAATGACTCACCTTCAGTTCCTTTTCCTCACTTTAGTTTCAGCCTTCAGGGAACATGCTGCCTCTGCCAGTGAAGGTTTACCATAGTTGCCATGAATATAGATTATTTTGCACACAGGTTTGGGGGAGGGGAGGGCATTCCCTGATTTCAAGGAAGAAGGAGTATTTGTGTGTGGTTCAGAGAGGTTATAAAATACACGTGAGGGCTGACAACTTATTAAAAAATAATAGCTCAATGTGACTTTTTTGCTATAGGTGGCACATTTTTTGGTATACTTGATGCCTCCCTTTCTCTCAATTTTTATCAAATCCAAGAGCAGCATCTGTTACTCCAACCTCTAAAACCCATGTGAAGTCCCTCCACTTCAATTGATCTCCATTACTAACTCTGTGGCTCATCTCTCACCTAGACTAAGACAAACCCTTTTTTGCTGGTGCCTCTCCTTTAACATTTAATCCTGTAAAATCCATTCTTTTCTCGGCATTCTTTTGAAAACCCAGTGCATGGCCGATTTTTAAAACTTTGTATACATCAGCATTCACTATAATGAACATTTTTATTTATCATAGAAAATATAGAGTCTTATATCTACCACTAAAATGTCATAGAGATCCCTTCTTTTAGCCAAAAATTTCTCTTGCTTCACCTTGATAGTCAACCACCACCCTCTACCCAAATCCCAGCAACAATAGTGTGTTTAGCGCGTTTTCTTTATCTACTTTTTTTTTTATCATTTCCAGATTTAAAATGCATAGAATCATACAATCCTGTTTCTATAGTGACTGTATTTTTTTTCAAATTAAAATCAGCAATGACTAAGAGTACCTGTTCTTCAGCCTCCTGTTGAGTGTTTGAAATTTTCAGTTGTTTTGATTTTAGCCACTCTAAAAGATGTGTAGTGGTATCTTGTTTTACTTTGTAATTCCCTAGTGACATATGATGCTAATCATCTTTTTACATTATTATTTGCAATGTGTATATATTCTTTGGTGTAGTGTATATCTATTCAGATCTTTTGTCCATTTTTATTAGATTGCTTTCTTATTATTGAGTTGAGGGTTCTGAATATATTTTTGATACACATCTTTAGTCAGATTTTTTTATCTGACTTTTATCCTTGTTTCTCATTTTTCCTCTCATTCTCTTAACAGAATTTTTTCATTTTTATGAAGCCAAACTTACCAATTTTTTCTTTCATGGATGCTCCTTTTGGGTTGTATCTAAAAAGTTTTCTCAAACCATAGTCACTTAGGTTTTCTCCTATGGTATCTTCTATGTGTTTCATAGGTTTTTAAAATTTTATTTTCATATTTAGGTCTGTGATTGAATTTATGTTAGCTTTTATGAAGAGTTTAAGGTCTGTGCCTAGCTTCATTTTCTCCA